TACCCCCAAACAAAATCGTGGGAATAAAAGAGAAAAGTGATTGGCAAGTGCGCGGAAGGACCTTGGGGGAGGGGAGAGAGTTGGGGACGAAAGAGGGTGCGGACGGGGGGGGTTGCTGACGGAGGATATTGAGTTTAAAAAGAAAGAAAGAAAAAAAACCCAGCCCCTCAAAACAAACAAGCGAACCAGCCGCGCCAGCCCAGACTCAAAAAGGAAACTTCTCGCTCCTTTCGCTCTCAGCCGGATCACCCGGCGCAGGCTGTGTAGACGCTCCCAAACTGGGCTCCAGGTCGAATAGCCCGCCCAGCTTCTCGCTACCCCAGCCCGCGCCTCGGGGGGAGGGCTACTTGGAGCAACTTTACACTAGAGAGACAACTGTGAGCACCCCCAGCCTGCCCCAGTGCTACATTGAGCGCAGAGGGGGTGACTCGGGTAGCAATGTGGGAGCGTGGGGTGCAGGAGGGAGCAAAACACAAAGACAAGGCGGTGCTGATTAGAGACAAACGATCTCTGTGTATGTCTCTATCTCTCTGCCTCTCTCTCCCTCTCTCTCTCTCCCTCTCCCACTCACACACTCCCTCTCCCCTCCCCCCTCCTGTGTGTGTGTGTGTGTGTGTGTGTGTGTGTGTGTGTGTGTGTGTTTTTTGCTTGTTGTGGTGGAGGTGTCGAGCCATATGGGGGAGTGATAGAGGAATTTTAGTCAGAAACTGTTCCTCTTATTATCCTGCCTTTCCTCTTTGTGCTATCTTTGATCTATTTGCTTGGTTTAGTATTATAAAATACAAGGATAGTAATATATTCTGAGCTGGTCTCCAAGATTCAATTCAGGCTGTCTCTTTTTAAGTTGTGTGTGTGTGTGTGTGTGTGTGTGTGTGTGTGCTTTAATTTAATTTTTTCTTCCCTGGTGCCTACCATTATTTAAGGTGGTCCTTACACAGGAGACTTCCCCTTCTCCATCTCTGGGTAATTTAGTAGACACTAAAATTACACCTAATGTTCCCCTCTTCTCTCTTGTGTTTCCTCTGTTCCTTTTATTAAATGTTAGTTATTGATTTTCTAAAATCAATGTCTGTTGTGGGGCTTTTTCCCCCCTCTTACAAGTATCTAAAGCATGTTGCTGATCATCTGGATAACAAAAGCTTTGTGTCATGAAGGCTTTTTTCTTCTTATGTTAAACAGTCATTTTTTGAGAGAAAAGAGAATGAGGAAAAGCAAGGCTAAGAGAAGTATTCTTTTGCAGGAAAAACTGGAATGTTTGTTTCTTCTTGTCTTCCTCCTTCAACTCCCTTCAGGAGTCTGCCATAGAATACCAGCTTGGCCCCCGCAGTGAGGTCAGGCTACAACCCAATTCTGGGCACAGACAGATATCCCAGCTCCTCGGGAACTGTGGTGACACCAGCTGAAAGGAAGTCCCATTGGGGCCTCTCAGGCAGCATGGTGTGCCAGGGAGGGGTGCAGTCGTGGACACCAACCATTTCCCCTCTGATCAGCCATTGATTTAGAGACAAGCCTCCACACTCCAAGGGGGATAAAGTTGAATTGAACATTTTAAGGCATTTGGCCCAGACCCTGAATACCCAATATCAGGTCTGTCTTTGGCCCACAGCTTCTCTATCTTTGATTAATACCTGTCTCTTTTTCCAAACAATCTGTGAGAAAACATGCTATAAACCGGTTACCTGTCAGTGTTCTCCTTGGATTTAATCTGACTTAGCAGTGTCCAGGTCTTGAGAAGCAGGTAGAAGAGCCACCCCCCATCACCCTTTTTTTCATTTTCTTTCTCATCAAACATATCCAATGCCTTTTCCTTTGGGAATTGCCAGGATTTATCTGAACTGAGTGGATTTTTCTTCTTTCCTGGATTCATGGAAAAGATGTCACTTTTGAGCTTGTGTCTTTGCTGATAACACTAAATATGATGATGGTTATCAACATCATATAGAAATTCCTGAAAAGGAATAATAGCAATAATAATCATAGAAGTAGAAGGTGCAAGAATAAAAGACGGTCACCCAAGACCTAGAATGGCACTTTATATAATTTTAATGAAGTCAACTGTGTGTATATAGAGAGTAAATGACAGTGAGATAAAACTCAGTCTGTGTGTGTGTTTGAAAGGCTGGTCAAAACCGTGGGTCAAAAGATGATGGTGTGTACAATTATTAAAAGGCAAAGGAGAAAGTGGCATAGCAGGGGAAATAAATGTAGAAAGAGAGAAACAATCTAAAAATCCAACCTCCCATATTCTCAGGCTAGCAAGATGCCTGGCAAAGACAGGGCCAGGACCAAGCTAACTCATGGCGGGCAGTCGGTTTCCTTTCACCCACATGGAAAGCAGGAAATCTCTTCCCAGAAAATAAGATGTGCCGGGAGGAAAGGGGGAGTAGGGTTAGGGGGAAGGAGGCAAAAAGCGAATAGCCAGCAGACAAGAATGTGTGTAGGCTTCAAGAAAGTTCAGTCAGATGATCCTCAGCTGCCTGACTCACTTTGTAACACTTTCATTGAGGCTGGAGAGGAGGGGGAAAGCCAGCCCCCCTTTATAGTCCCCTGATTATATACCCCACTATTTCCACACAGCCTTAGAGGCTGGAATGAGCTGGAGAGACCCACACTCCAGCCTGTCACCACTTGCAGCAGGTTTGTAACTTGCAAAGTTTGTTGCTTTCACCCCTGATTCTAGCAGCAGATCCAATTTCCCTCCTGCCTCCCCATCCCGCTGCCTTCCACCATCAGCCTCCAGAAAATCATACAGACACATTGTGTCAAAACTGAAATCGCAGGGCTGTTTGCTTCAGAGAAGGGAATGAAGTCTTTAAGGGAAAACTGAATTAGGAGGGGAGGAAAAGGAAATGAAAAAAAGAAAAGTTACATTTGATTTTCCTTCAAAGTTTCTGCTAAGGGGTTGGATACTGTAGGTAGGGGTAAGGTAGCAGGGGAGCTTTTTCCAAACACATTCTAGTCTCTGGATTTTCAGTTGATAAAGGCAATTGATCACGTTGAATGTTCTCAGGGCTTTGGAGATGAGCAGAAATGATTATCCCTGTTCAAAAGAAACCTTCACTCCTTACCACTTCTTTGAAGGGAGTGGAGGTGCTGTTAGGGATGCTGAGAGGCAGTGAGAGATGGAGAAGAAGCTCCCATTGCAGA